TTTTTTTTTTCGGTACGCGGGCCTCTCGCTGTTGTGGCCCAGCGGCATGTGGGATCTTCTCGGACCGGGGATCTTCCCGGACCGGGGCACGAACCCGTGTGCCCTGCATCGGCAGGCGGACTCCCAACCACTGCGCCACCAGGGAAGCCCTAGGATATTTTTTAAGTGAAACTTGATAAGCTTATCCTAATTTTTATATAGAAGAACAAAGAGACAATCAGAATTTTAAAAAATATATTTATTTATTTATTTCGGGTGCACTGGGTCTTAGCTGCGGCACACAGGATCTTCGTTGCAGTGTGCGGGATCTTTAGTTGCAGCATGTGAACTCTTAGTTGTGGCATGCATGCAGCATCTAGTTCCCCAACCAGAGATCGAAGCTGGGCCCCCTGAATTGGGAGCATGGAGTCTTACCCACTGGACCACCAGGGAAGTCCCCAGAATTTTTTTTTTTAATGTTATTTGAAGAAGACCTAGGTGGGGGAACTCATTTTAGAGATTTAGTAATTAAAGCTGTGATGTGGGGCTTCCCTGGTGGTGCAGTGGTTGAGAGTCCACCTGCCGATGCAGGGGACACGGGTTCGTGCCCCGGTCCGGGAAGATCCCACATGCCGCGAAGCAGCTGGGCCCGTGAGCCATGGCCGCTGAGGCTGCGCGTCCAGAGCCTGTGCTCCGCAACAGGAGAGGCCACAGCAGTGAGAAGCCCACGTACCGCAAAAAAAAAAAAAAGCTGTGACATATTGGTGCAGAGAGATAGTCAAATTAAACTGAACAGACAGCTCAGAAACAGATCCATGAATTTATGGAAACTAGATGAATAACAGAGGTAGCATTACAGATTAGTGGGGAAAGGATTTGCTGTTCAATAAGCAGTGCCAGAAAGATTCATTATCTATATGAAAAAAAATTAGAATACCATATGCAAAATCAATAGTAGATTAAAGCCCTAAAAGTGAAAAACAGAACTTTAAAAAATATCTTTATGTCCTTGAGATAGTGATTTCTTAAACAAGATAGAGAAAACACTTTGATTGATAAGTTGACTGTATTAAAACTGAAAGCTGCTTTTTAATGAAAACTATCTTTAATGGAGTTAAAAAGACAAACCACAGATGAGAGAAGATATCTGCAAGGCATATAACTGATAATGGATTTGTATGTTGGGTATATAAAGGATACCTATAAATCAATAAGAAAAAGATAATCCAGTTTTACAAATAAGAAAGGATATTGTGTAGATAACATTACTGGCCCCAGTTCATCACCCCCTACCAACATTCACACACTTTGTTGTATGACTTTGCAGTTCTTCTCACTAACAGACCAGAGGATATTTCTCCCTTTTGGCCATGTGATTTGCTTTGGTCTATTAGAATATGTGACAGTGTGGCAGTTACAAGCCTAAGCCTTAAGAGACCTCATGTATTTCCTCTTGGGCTTTTATACTTCAGCCATTGTTGTGAGAGGAAATTGTCTGAGCTGGCCTACTAGTCCCAGGAGGAAGATGTAAGACCATGTAATAACACAGCCACTTTAGACAAGCTGCCCCATCCAACCCAAAGGCACTAAGCTAAATAAATACTATTGTATAACATTGTTTTTGTGGTTAGCTGTTATTCAGTGTTACTTGACAACATTGTAATGAGCAAGGAAATTCACTTAATCATGGTCAACAAACATTAAAAGTTGTTCAGTCCATACAAATAAAAGCAATAGCATACCATTGCATATCCATAAGATTGGCAAAATTTAAAAGTCTGATAATATTAAGTGTTGGCAAAAATTGAGGAGTAGAAATTGATATATACCATTAGTGGGAGTGCACACCTAAAAAGCAGGTGACATGATTCTGGCCATTGAGTTGCAGGATGTGGCATCTGGAAGAACTTTTTTTTTTTCCTGATAAAAAAGAAAATAGACTGGGCTGGTAATTGCCTTTTGTCTTTTTGTTTTCTTCCTGCCAGGAACATGGACATGAGACTGCAGATGGGGCACTCATCTTGCAGCATGAGGTGTTTTAATTTCATTACTTATATTTTTCATATATTAAATTCATTTGATTCCTCTTCAAACGTACCTCTTCTTTTTTTTCCTTTTCTTATGGATAATAATAATAAAATAAAAGGAGAATAGCTAAAATTTGTGAAGTACTTACTACATGCCAAACACTGTTTTGAGTGGTATATGTACATCAACTCATTCAATCCTCACAATAATCCTATGAAATAAGTGCTATTTTTGGTTCCACTTTACAGATAAGGAAACAGCAATACAAAGGTTAAATACATTGCCCAGGTTCACACAGCTAGTTAAGTGATAGAGCTAGAATTCCAATCAAGCTACCTGGTTCTAGTGTCTGTGCTCATAACTATGTGCTAGTCTACATCACCTTTTATCTTTGATCATTTTTTTTTTTTTGCGGTACGCGGGCCTCTCACTGCTGTGGCCTCTCCCGTTGCGGAGCACAGGCTCCGGATGCGCAGGCTCAGCGGCCATGGCTCACGGGCCCAGCTGCTCCGCGGCACGTGGGATCTTCCCGGACCGGGGCACGAACCTGCATCCCCTGCATCGGCAAGTGGACTCTCAACCACTGCGCCACCAGGGAAGCCCCTATCTTTGATCATTTTAAACATACTTATTTAATAGCCTATTAGAGTTTTGTACTATTTTTCTCAAATTCTTGGGGTTCTAATTCTCTGCTTGTTATGCCTGCTGATTCTTCTTTATAAAGAACAATTGCCTTGTGTATTTTACTATTTTTGACTCATTCATTCAACAGCATTGATTGAGCAGCTGTTGTTTGCTCAAGTGCTGTTCAAGGAGCTGGGAATATATAAGTAAACAAAACAGGCAAACTGTGCTCTCTTGGACCTTAAATTCTAGTAGGAGAAAACAAAGAGTAAATGAGAAAGGGGACGGAGAGTGGGAGGAGGTGCTTACATGGAATGGTAAAGGGGGCTTCCCTGGTGGTGCAGTGGTTAAGAATCCGCCTGCCAATGCAGGGGACACGGGTTTGAGCCCTGGTCTGGGAAGATCCCACATGCCACGGAGCAACTAAGCGCGTGCACCACAACTACTGAGCCTGCGCTCTAGAGCCCGTGCTCCACAACAAGAGAAGCCACCACAGTAAGCCTGCGCACTGCAACGAAGAGTAGCCCCTGCTTGCCTCAACTAGAGAAAGCCCGCGCACAGCAACGAAGACCCAGCGCAGCCAAAAATTAACTAATTAATTTAAAAAGAATGGTAAAGGAAAGCCTTTATTTAAATTAATTTATTTTAATTAATTAATTTTTTTAAAAAGAACGGTAATGGGAGAAGAAATCTTCTCCCTTTAATCTTCACCTGGCTAATGGTAAAGGAAATGGTAAAGGATAAGGTGACATTTGAGCAGAGTCCTAGAAAATGTGAGAATGTGAGCTATGTGTATATCTGGAGGAAGCATTTCCAAGCAGAAGGCATAGCAAGTACAAGGCTGCATGACAGGAACATGCCTTGAATGTTTGGGAACAAGCAGAGGTCTTTGGAGCTGGAATGCAGTGTGTGAGGGGTAGAGCAGAAGGGATGCGGGCAGAGAGGTTCCAGGAGGGGCAGGATGCAGATGGTGTAGGTCATGAGAAGAACTTTGGGGCTGGGTGGGGAACCTTTCTTTGGAGAGTTTTGTGCAGAGGGGTAACATGATTTCACTCGTGTTTCAGAAGCGTCACCATGGCTGCTGTATTCAGACTAGACTGAAGTTGCAAGGAGACTAATTAGGAGGCTGTTGATAGTAGGTGATGGAGTGAAGTGGTAACAGCAGTAGCACAGAAGTGGTAGGATTTTGGATTTGTTTTGAAGGTAAAGCTGACAACACACAGTCAAAGATGACTCTTCATGTTTTTGGTCTAAATAAGTGGAATGGAGTTACCATTTCCTGAGATGGATAGGGCTATAGGAAAGGCAGGTTTAAGATGAGGATGAATGAAGAGTGGTTTGGGATCTGTTGAGCTCAGGATGCCTATTAAACATCTAAGTGGAGATGCAGATAAACAGATAATTTGAGTCTGAGGTTCAGGGAAGAGGTCAGGGGCTAGATATGTAAAGTGGTATTTAAAGCTATGAGACTGGATGGGCTCACCTAGGGAATGATATAAGTAGAGGAGAGGTCTGAGCCCTGAGGCCTGCGACATTCCAGCTGTAGGGGAGAAAAAATTTTCCTTGACCTTCTTCCGGGCTGTGCCTGAAAATCAAACTAACAGATTAGCAGGAGAAATGCATACAAATTTACTCAATATAAATTTTACATGACACAGAAGGCTGCATAAGGAAATGAAGGCCCGAAGAGACAGACCTGAGTATTTTTATGCTAGGCTTGGTGAAGAGTGGAGAGTCGTGGAAGAATGTGGTAGAATAAGGAGTAAGAGGTAAGGTTAGAAAACTGGGGCACACCCAGCAAAGCCTGTTTGTTCAGAGTCTTCTCAGCGTCCCTTTGTCTTCTGAGATAAGGAGGCTCCTTTCCTCTGGGTGTAGGGTGGACACCTCTCACCTGAGGGTTTTGTGATCTGTTGCAGTGGAAAAGGGAGGGGGTGTCAGAGTGACCTTCCTGCTTCTGCTGTTTACTCAGACTCCTTCAGTTCAAAATACTCAATATGCCAAGGTGCCATCTTGGGGGGGAGCATGTCCTGAATCCCAAAGCACTTAGAGATTAGACAAGGAAGAGCCAGGAGAGGAGACTGAGGAGTGAGCAGTAGAAGAACCATGAAGGAGTGGTGTCCTGGCAGCCAAGTAAGTGCAACAAGTGTTTGAAAGGATGAAAAGAGTGATCCACTGTGTCAGTAAAATGAGGACAAAGAAGTGACCATTGGATTTGACAACATGCAGGTTACTAATGATCTTTCAAAAAATAGGTTTTGATGGATGGGGATGGAAACCTGATTAGAATGGGAGAAGTGAAGATAGCAAATGAAAAAACCAAGACAAAAAACTCTTTCAATGAACTGTGTGTAAAGGGAGCAGAGAAATGGAGTTGTAGCCAGAAATAGATGTGAAATCAAGGGGAGTTTTAAAGATAGGCCATATTAGACATCATGGTGGTACAATATTGGAAATGATCCACTCTGTACAGAGACGGGAATGACTGAGTTCAGTTTAAGCAGAGCTTATTTCCCACCTGGCCTGGGTTCTGAGAGCTTCCCTCCTGAGCAGTTTGGCATTTGCTTCTGCAAGGTGTCCCCACAGACACCACCAGCCCAGGACTAATTCTCACGGTAATTTTTCAGTTTGAGGTTTCCCACACCAAGCAGGTAAAATAAATTTGGACTCCGGAACCTCACAAAGCACAACCTTGGGTTTGATATCTCACCTAGGGATTTTTTTCTTCCCAACTAAGGCCCTGCAAAGACAAACTTTCTTTGCCTTTTCCCTGGACTTCGGGGCAAAGTTTACTAGTCCTTTTTCATTACGGTTGAATCCTTAGAGAGTTCCAGTTTCTGTTACTGATAAAAACCGGAGCCCATGCTGCTGCCCCAGCAGCTCAGCCATACAGTTTAAAGCCTTGGCAGTATTTAGCCAGCATCTCTAGAGATTTGTGACAGCAAAGTTTCAGCACTTTCTAGACCACCATTTTGCTGGAATCAGAAATCTTCTCCCTTCATTCTTCACCTGGCTAATTCCTAGTCATCTTTGAGGTCTCAGCTTAAATGTGACTTCTTGGAGAGGTATTCCCTAACCCTCTCCATCCCAATCTAAACTAGTTCACCTTTTTATACTAAGAGCACGCTCCTTCTGTCTTAGCACTTAACTTGTCATTTATAACTTCATATGAGTATTTGTTTCAAGCTGGTACCCGGCTAGATTAAAAACTACATGGAGGCAAGAATCAAGCCTGTTTAGTTCACCATATATAGCAGAAGGCCTGATTTATAGAAGATGCTCAATCAGGTTCAGTGACTGAACAAATAATTGTCTAAAAATGTAATAACTAAGAGTAGAGTCTTACATGATATCCTGAAACCCATTATCTTCTGTGTCTTGGAGACGATATTCTCTAAGGAGAAAGTGTTTTTAATGGAAAAAGGACAGAGGTTTCTGACTGTCATTTTACTTGACTCAGAGAAGCAGTGTTACTCCGATTTTTGGTAACCACTGTTTCTTTTCCTCTTTAGAATGGAGATCTCCTCTCATCAGTCTCACCTCCTGCAACAACTGAATGAGCAGCGCAGGCAGGATGTATTTTGTGACTGCAGTATTCTGGTTGAAGGAAAGGTCTTTAAAGCCCATCGAAATGTATTATTTGCTAGTAGCGGCTACTTTAAAATGCTTCTTTCCCAGAACTCCAAGGAGACAAGTCAGCCAACCACAGCAACGTTTCAGGCTTTCTCCCCTGACACTTTTACAGTTATCCTGGACTTTGTCTATTCCGGCAAGCTCTCTCTCACAGGTCAGAATGTCATAGAAGTGATGTCCGCTGCTAGCTTCCTTCAGATGACTGATGTCATTAGTGTATGTAAGACCTTTATTAAATCTTCATTAGACATTAGTGAAAAAGAAAAGGATCGCTATTTCAGCCTTTCGGATAAAAATGCCAGTTCTGATGGTATAGAACGCTCCTCTTTTTATAGCGGTGGCTGGCAAGATGAAAGCAGTTCTCCACATTCTCACCTAAGCCCAGATCAAGGAACAGGTATAAGTGGGAAATCTTGGAGTAAGTATAATTACCATCCAGCCTCCCAAAGGAATACTCAACAGCCTCTGGCCAAGCATGAACAAAGGAAAGATTCCATTAAAAAATCCAAACATTTGAGGTTGTCACAACCTTCTGAAATGGCTCATTATAAGTCAAGCAAACGAGAAGCACGAACATCTGATTCTTCCAGCCACATCTCGCAATCTGAAGAACAGGCACAAATGGATGCGGAAATGGACTCTACTCCTGTTGGCTATCAGTATGGTCAAGGATCCGATGTCACATCAAGAAGTTTTCCAGGTACCCAGAAAGAGAATCAGTCCCCTCAGTCAGGTTCCAAGACTCTGATGTAAATCAATCCTATCTCAACATGCCCTTACTTTTAGGTGTTATGGGAAGTTGAAACAAGTGATTTTTTTTTAAGTCATACTTCTCTAATGAAATCTATGCATAAAACACAAATTTTAAAAATTATAATACTGGATAAATTTAATGAAGTCAAAACAATAGAGTTCTGAGGGTCAGAAACCCATGAATTTCGAAACCTGCTTATCTGTGGGCAATTAGATTACTGTTAAATGTAAAGCTCTTTTGTAAAGTGGTTCAATCCTTAAGACACATATTTTCACTTTATTTTTTAAAATTTTATATTGGAGTATAGTTGATTAACAATGTTGTGTTAGTTTCAGGTGTACAGCACACTTTGCTGTACAGTTATACATCATATTCAGTTATATATCATATTTTCACTTTAAATAGTTTACTTTTTTTTTTTTTGCGGTACGCGGGCCTCTCACTGTTGTGGCCTCTCCCGTTGCGGAGCACAGGCTCCGGACGCGCAGGCTCAGCGGCCATGGCTCACAGGCCCAGCCGCTCCGCAGCATGTGGGATCTTCCCGGACCGGGGCACGAACCCGTGTCCCCTGCATCGGCAGGCGGACTCTCAACCACTGCGCCACCAGCGAAGCCCTACTTTTTTTTCTGAGTATTCACTCAGGAGCAGTATTTTTATACAGAAAAGTTAAATAGAGCAACCATACATATTGGTAAAGGTTCACAGACCCAGTATCGAAAAGAAATTAAACTAAATCTGATTTTATTAAGATATAAATACATAATTTTAAAAAACTTAACTAATACAACATATAATATTGATACTGTATCTCTGTACCACCATGAGGCATCTCATTTTTATCATAGTAGTAAAATGCAGAGATATTATTGGAGGCTGATAGTTTCAAAGTAGAGAACAGAGATTAGAAATGTATATCATCCAGTTCCCCCCACCAATTAATCAGTTAGCAAATTTGCTTAATATTTTACATGTGAATTTAAAGAAAAATTATGATAAAATTAAACTCTTGCAGAGTATAAGATTTAGATGACAATTATACTCCAATAAGGATGTTAAAAAAAGAAAAAAAGATTTAGTTGATATATTTAAGTTTTTTAATTTTAGAAAATTTCCAAGTATATATAAAAGTAGAGTAGTCTAATTAACCGCCATGCACCCGTTACCCAGTCCCACTCATGACCAGTCTTGTTTCATTTGTACCTCTGCCCCCGACCACTCCCATTTTTAAGCAAATCTCAGACATCATGTTTTCATGTGTAAATATTTCAGAATGTGTCCCTAAAATATAGTCTTAGAAAAAAAACTACAATACCATTATTATCATACCTAAACAAAATTAACAAGTCCTTAATATCACTAAAAGCCAATCAATATTCACATTTCCCTGGTTGTGTAAATTTGAAAATAATTTGGTTATAGGTAACATATTTAAAAGTAATAGGCAACCTGATTGATTTTTACTAATCACATTTTCCTGTAGGATACTAACATGAAAATACATGAAACTGTATCATATTATAAAAGCTTTCTGAAAATGCTGAGGCACTCTACCATTGACCAAGGCAGACAGAAATAACAGCAAAAATGGGAAATCTCTGTTGCATTTTAAAACAGCAACAAAGTTATCCTTTCTTGGGCTTTGCACTTTTGTAACTCTAGGTTATTTAAATCTAACTTCAATAATGAACAGCTGAACTTAACTGCTGTTAAATTGAGAAGGTTTGCCTCCAACCACAACTAACATTTTGAATATGTGTGAGTTTTAAAACAAACGATTAAAGATCCTTGACACTTTTTAACCTTTAAAAGAAAAGCAGTACAGCTGTATGAAAAGTAAGAGCAAGGGGGTTCAGACATCTGGTGTGTGTGCTTGGCTGCGGAGCCAATGGGGTGAAACTACCATCTGTGGGATTATGACTGAATGCATGCAAGTCAGATTCTTGCCCAGGTGGAACGATTAAAAAGATTTTTTTAAAGAAAAGTTAAGAGCGGGGGGCGGGGGTGATAAACCCATGTAAATAAAACAAGTTACTTAAAAGCGTAAAGACCCTGGATTGTGTCTGTAGTTTTAAAATCTAGTAGTACTACTTCTTTACTTAAATCTAGTGACTCTATGCCATTAAATAAAAAGATGAGTGGGACAGTCTAAATCTACCCAGGCTTTGTAAATATATCAAATCCTGAAGGTACGGTTCTATACTTAGGATTACACTGACAATCTAGTCTTTATAAAATTTCTTCCTTCTCCTTGTTGCCTACCTTTCCGAGATTGGACTCTCCAGCCCCTTTTGGATTCTTGATGTTATCAGAACGGTGATTATGAACTTTACGGTGACTTAATCAAACTGTCTCTTGACAGATGACCTGCCCAGGATGAGGTTCAAGTGCCCGTACTGCACACATGTGGTGAAGCGGAAGGCAGACCTCAAGCGCCACCTTCGTTGTCACACAGGAGAAAGGCCCTATCCCTGTCAAGCTTGTGGGAAAAGATTTAGCCGGCTAGACCATCTAAGTAGCCATTTTCGAACAGTATGTATATGATTTTTCATCATTTTACTTTTTAGGAAATACATGCATTTATCTGCTTAGGATAATCTAGTTCACTGAGGAAAATCTTTTCACACAACTATGCAATATTAAACAATTTTTCCAATTTAATGTTTTACTTTGCACATAATGCATACTTTTATATATTTTAAATTTTTATTTTTTTATTTTTGGCTGTGTTGGGTCTTCCGTTGCTGCACATGGGCTTTCTCTAGTTGCGGCAAGCGGGGGCTACTCTTCTTTGCAGTGCACGCTTCTCATCGTCGTGGATTCTCTTGTTGTGGAGCACGGGCTCTAGAGCGCAGGCTCAGTAGTTGTGGTGCATGGGCTTAGCTGCTCCACGGCATGTGGGATCTTCCCAGGCCAGTGCTCAAACCCTTGTCCCTTGCATTGGCAGGCAGATTCTTAACCACTGCGCCACCAGGGAAGCCCCATATTTTTTAAAATAGGTTTTTTTTTCTCCTCTGAAACCTTGAAATAAGAGATATTCTTTTGAATATCCATTTCAATTCACTTAAAATCTATTATTTTTATATCCCGGTTTTTTCAGAGCCAAAGACAATGTAAACTTTTAAAATGTTTAAAACTTTTTAAATGTCTATGTCAGAATCACCACTTCAGATATTAAGCATCTGCTAGTGATTCTTGAATCCTTATCTGGTAGGTTGTCAGTCTAGTTTCTGCTGTCTGACCTCTCTCCACTACAGCCTCTTTCTAGTGTCTCTCCAGTTTCTCTGGTCTCCTGAAGGAATGGAGTGAGATGGGCAATAGGGCGACTCTCAATCAAGGACTGGACTGTCAGCAGTCAGAAAAATCTCAGGGAATTTTCTGTTCAGTGCTCTGGTGGTTTAATAAGGTAGTGATGGGACTTCCCTGGTGACATTGGTAGTGACATTGGAATTATTCTGCTGTTCATCTTGCAACAAAAATTTTTTCCAAAATTGATGTTCTATTACCCATACTTTTATTTCATTTATACGAGCTCCTTTTAATTTGGAAGGGTATTGGTCACTTGATGCATTGCTTTCTAGGGATTCATCCAACAAATATATATTGAGCACCTACTATGTGCCAGACCCTTTTCTAAGAGCTAGGTATACGGCAGTGAGCAAAACAAACTCTCTGCCTTCATTAATCTCTGAAGCTAATTTAAAAGTTAAAATAACCTTTTATTATTACAAAAGCAATAAGTATGCATTATAAAAACTACGAAAATAGACGTAAGAATAAGAAAATTAAAATATCATATTTTTACCACCCAGATATTACCATTCTTAACACTTTATCATGTGCATTTATTTTTTTTTAACCAAAATGATATCATACTGTATATGCTATTTTGTAACCTGCTTTCTTTTTTTGTTTTTAGATTTATTTATTTTATTCATTTATTTTTGGCTGCATTGGGTCTTCGTTGGTGCACGTGGGCTTTCTCTTGTTGCGGCGAGCGGGGGCTACTCTTCCTTGCCGTGCACAGGCTTCTCATTGCGGTGGCTTCTCTTGTTGTAGAGCACGGGCTCTAGGCGTGCGGGCTTCAGTAGTTGTGGCACACGGGCTCAGTAGTTGTGGCTCGTGGGCTCTAGAGTGCAGGATCAGTAGCTGTGGCGCACGAGCTCAGTTGCTCCGCGGTATGTGGGGTCTTCCCAGACCAGGGCTCAAACCCGTGTCCCCTCCATTAGCAGGCGGATTCTTAACCACTGCGCCACCAGGGAAGCCCCTGTAACCTGTTTTCTTTAGTGAATAATCTCTACCTTTCCATCTCAATAAAATTTTATGTGTTACACAGTTCAAATTTACCTATAGTTTCCTAAAATACCACTTATAGCTGGTGTGTCCAAGCCAGAATCCAATCCAGAACTCATCTCATTGTTAGATCCCTTAAATATGTTTTTGAGCTAGCATAGTTCCCTACCCGCCCCTGCCACCTCCCAACCTTTTTAAAAATAACATTGACTTACTGAAGATATTGAGCCAATTGTTTTACAAAATATCCTACCTCTGGATTTCTCTGCTTGCTTCTACATGGTGTCATCTTTAGCTTGTTCTTTTATCACCCCCTGCATTTTCCGAAAACGAGAAGTTTTATCTAGAGGCTTAATGGATTCAAGTTAAATACTCTCATCAAAGACAAAATTGTATGTTTCATATTGTGTCACATTAGGAGACACATCATATCTGGTGGACCCATCATTCATGTTGTTACAATTGATCACTGGATTAGGGTGATGATACTATGATCCCACCATTGCATTGTAATTAGAAAGGAATCTCTGTGTAACTATTTTGGTATTATATGACTATCCATTTCCCCATGAACTATTCATTTAATAGTATTAATACCAATTGGTAATCTCTGTCCAAATTATTAATTTTACTTGGAGTTGTGGAATGATTTACTAGTATTATCCTTCCTTCTATATTATTAGCTGGAATTCTATAAAGTAAAGCTTTCCTTCATCACCTGGGGCTATTTGGTTACTTTGAAATAGGGTTCCTGCGGGAGAAGCAAGATAAATGTTTAATTATTTCCCTTTAACCACCAATTTTCAAAGTGAAGAGTGATTTAATAGTAGTCTCAAATGGTATATGAGTTTTTTCTGGCTTTGTTTTTTTAAATAGCATATGTTCTCATGAATTTTCATTGGTTCATTATGTTTGGATCCATAACAATTATTATTTTTTTGATACTCAAAATTTCAAATTTGTGCAGTGGGGACCTTTGAAGCTGGCTCTTGTGTCCTTTTGTCACAACTCCATTAAATTTTCAGTGCTCTTGTTCTCTGGCTCCAAAAGAGCCCTAGGCTCATCTTGTACTTCCCCCGCCACAAAACTGGAATCAGCCATTTCTCAAAGGAGCTTTGGTACCTCTTAGCGGGGAATGAAATTAGAAACCAAAATTTGGACACGCAGGGTGCTCATTGTTATTAGGGTATCCTTTTTAGATTGTTTCTGAGCTAGAAGGTATATATTTTTAAAATAGTGAGTTCATGATGATATTTTCAGTTTTAACATTAAAGTGTTTCACTTAATTTCTTTGTCTTCATAACTGTATTGGATTTGGAGGGGGATGAACATGAATCTGTGTCAGAACTTTGTAATAAAAACAGTGCCACATAGGATAACCATAATATTGATTCTATCTCAGGAGAAATAAAGGTACACTCAAATTATGTACTTTCAACATTTACTGATTAATATGTCAGTGGTTAAGCAGAAGATAATAACTGTACTGAGTGGTAGTCCCATACATTTTCTTAGATATTTTACCAGACTGCTTTAGTTCTCTTGGGTTTTTTGACTATTTGTGTTTGGTGGCCCACTTTCATACCATTCTGACATTATCTAAATGAATATGCCATAAACATTAATTCAGCATATATAGTTAATTATATGTAATAATTTTTAGATTAGAATCTATAATCTATTGCTCTGACAGCTATTGAACAAAGTTACTAACTATAATATACAATTATTCATCAATTACAACTTCTTCCCAAAGCATTTCACACATATTAACTCATTTGGTCCACACAACCTGAGCTGTATCCCTATTAGTAATAACGGAGCAGTTAGGAATAATAATAGACTGATATGTAGCAGAACCACCATAGTGGTTGTTTATAACCAGTGTCCATTCTGATAGTCAGGCTTCTGTTCTGTTTGGGTGGTGCCCATACCTTACCAGTTGTTAAATATTTTGACAGTCACCTGGAAGCAGGTTTATAATGTTTTAAGTTACTTGCTTCAAGATAACATGGTTATTAAATGACAAAAGCAGGACTAGAACCCAAGCTTTCCAATTCCTAGTCCAGTCTTCTTTCTATTAGATCTTTCATTAATAAAAGTGGCAATAATCCTTATATTGAAAAATATTTTTTGATAAATTTAAATTTGGGACAATATTTTTTCTTTCTCTAGCGAAATAACACAATATTAGTATTCAAATGAAATGAGTTTTTTCTCCTGAATTAAGATATGTAAAGTCCTGGGCTTCCCTGGTGGCGCAGTGGTTGAGAGTCCGCCTGCCGATGCAGGGGACATGGGTTCGTGCCCCGGTCTGGGAAGATCCCACATGCCGCAGAGCGGCTAGGCTCGTGAGCCATGGCCGCTGAGCCTGCGTGTCCGGAGCCTGTGCTCCGCAACGGGAGAGGCCACAACAGTGAGAGGCCCGCGTACCGCCAAAAAAAAAAAAAAAAGATATGTAAAGTCCTTAGAAAAGTATATGGCAGATATTAAGTGTTTGCAATAATTTTGTATTATTCTGGGAATGTGTCCCTTGTTACCTCAGATATAAAAATATTATTGGATTAAGGGATATGTAAAATTATTAAGTATGTAATATTAATCATAAAAACATAGTAGACATTATTTAGAGAAAGCTGGTATTTAATATTTCTGTGACATTAATTTATCACCAAAACCTGTGATTTTTTTCTAATAACTAGATGTTAATTTAATACTAATGCTTGGCTTTGAACATTTTAAATTTATGAATTGGTACTTAGAATATCAAACTGTTCTGCTTTTGAAAAATCTTTTTTTATCACTATTTAAATCTCTACACAGATTCACCAGGCATGCAAACTCATCTGCAGAAAATGCAAACGCCATGTGACTGATCTAACAGGTCAAGTGGTACAGGAAGGAACCAGGCGCTACAGACTCTGTAATGAGTGCCTTGCTGAAGTTGGCATAGACAGCCTCCCCATTGATTTGGAAGCTGAACAGCATCTTATGTCCCCATCAGATGGAGATAAGGATTCCAGATGGCACTTGGGTGAGGATGAGAATAGATCATACGTGGAAATTGTAGAGGATGGGTCTGCTGATCTGGTCATACAACAGGTTGATGATAGTGAAGAAGAAGAAGAAAAGGAAATAAAGCCCAACATCAGGTAGCTGGGGTGTGAACCAACAGATCTGGCATGTCTGCAACTTACATTGACTTCCCATAACTCTCTCTTTCCATGGTCAGAGTCTGGTTAACAAATTATCAGACTGACCTGAAAGTAATGACCTGATACCATTTGCATGCTTTCTGAACAGACCATTGTATCCATTCTGAACTTTGTTGCCCTAAAATCTGTTGCTGCACTGGAAAGAAAGAAAGACCTAGCTTGAGTTGGCATGATGGATGAACAATTAATCCTCTTACTTTTATTACAGAGATACCTTTTTTTTTAATATTGGAAGATCTACTTAGTGAACTTTTTCAAAGAAAATATTTTAAATAAATTCACCACAACCAAACTGTATATAAGATAATTTCAAGGTGTTTCAAAAACATATAAACTACCACTATTGAATTTTCACAGGGAACCAGGTAAGAGCACATTTAAGGGTCTGGCACCCTACCTGACTAAACTAATTAGTCCATTACCTTCAGACTGAAAATGACCTATCATTATTCCAATAATTATGGCGGAAAACAAACCTAAACTGTTTGAAATCATTCATATTTGAAACTTTTGTCTTTAAGTTAAAAATTACTCTTATGTAGTCAGTGTTTAAAAAGAACAAACTCTAAAATAGAAGCTGATCAGAGATTATATACAGACATCACTTTCTTAAAGCAGGAAACCAATACTGTCAAGGTAGTTTTCTGAGGATCTGTCTATATAGCTGTCTTCCTCTCCAGAGAAAAAAAGAAAACTGGAGGTTCTTACCGGTTCTTAAGTTAATTTCCTCCATTTATATACTACTATATTACTTATAAAGTGCTCTTTCACACATCTCCCCACCTAATCAGCAAGGTAAATAGTATTGTCTCTGATTTACAAATGAGGAAATTAAGGTCAGAAAGTTTAAGTGGTGGGACTGGTAACTGGACAGGTTTTGATTTTAAACAGTCCTCTTTCAACTGCCTCTCCCTGGATAGTCCCCTGAAATGGTGAAGAAGTGAAGTCAAACCTCACCAATCTGCAATTATTATAAAAAGAAGCCTATGAGAATTAGAAAGTATGAAAGAAGAGGAATTTAATCACCTTCAACAACATATAATATCTTGAACTAGAGTTATTCAAGTAGTGCTAAGTAATGTCCCTATAGTACCTATTGACATTTTATGTTATTTATATATAAATTTTATATATAAAACTATTTGAACACATTATTCTCCTAAGTTCTTTAAGCAGTTTATATAATTTATATATAATTCTTCAAAACAAACTTTTCTACTAGAATACAAAATTAAGTTTTAACTCCTCCCCTATATGAATTATGAAACATTCCAAAATTACAGTCAAATTGGAGATGCATTATTTTAGTTGTAAAGATAAAATCTAAATACTAGAAGAACGGTTCATAAAGGTCTTGGCAAGTTATCCCAATTAAGCTTGTTTTAATTTTGATAGAGGCTCCATGTATTATACTGTATTTTTAACTGCCATGACATACCTCAAGATCCTTTTTATGTTATTTTCTCTTATTCTTTAATTAATGATTGTCCTTAATACCAATTTGTGGGCCAAAATGGTTAATTTCTTTAAGTTTTTTTTATAAATAGATGAATAACCACTTTGTTTTATGGTACCTAATTCTGAGATTTTTTTCAAGATTCCCCTGATGGTAAATTTCCAATTGCTTCAAGACCGGATAGTGTGCATTGAGTTCATTGTCTCCCAACATGACCATTCCTGAGTCAGGAGTCTTAACAATTACATTGTTCCAAATGAGGGAGGGAACACTTGTCATTCTTTAGTCTCACCAGAGGGTGATAACATCTTTCAAAATTGTAATCCGATTTTTAATCATTGGAACCAATAGGAAAAATGACTGACTTGAGCTTTATTTATAGAAATGAAGTTGTGCTTGCATGTGTATACTCTAACGCACTTTAGTCTATGATCTAAATGTTCTTTGATGCTACTATATTCTGCATGCAAACATCAGCATGATTGTCAGCAAGGTCCACTGAACACAGTGCCACCAGCACTTGTAGAGCCTTATCAGAAATAATGCTTTCTCATAATTGTTTATAACAAGCATCAAGCAATCCCCACAAAACAGCTATGAAATTCACCAAACTAGACAGTGCATCTGTTCTATCATTTTAGTATCATAAAAGAACATACGTGACATGTTTGTAAGTTGTAAATAATAACTCCAGTATCATCATATTTATCTAAGACTTTAGAGACCAATTCTTTTCTAGAGCGTAACTATTAATGGTTTCTAAGAAAACTGAATTCTTTGGCTCTTAAATGTGGGAAAATATTACATAGGGGTATAATCTGTTAATATAAGCTTTATTTATGCCAATATTTTTTGTTTTTTTTTTGCGGTACACGGGCCTCTCACTGTTGCGGCCTCTCCCGTTGCGGAGCACAGGCTCCGGACGCACAAGGTTCAGCGGCCATGGCTCACGGGCTCACGGGCCCAGCCACTCCGCGGCATGTGGGATCTTCCCGGACGGGTGCACGAACCCGTGTCCCCTGCATCGGCAGGCGGACTCTCAACCACTGCGTCACCAGGGAAGCCCTTTTTCTTTTTAATGTTAGGAAAATAATGGAAGTTGGTTAGACCAAAGTTTGCTCTTACAAGAATGCTGTTTTATCAGCTTCTGAATACCCTTCTAAATCTATGGTCCTCAAGATCCGGTTGATAGGATGAAGTTTTGCAAAATAAAGCACCACTGAGTCATGCCTACTGTCTGGAGGAAGCAGAATTGACTAGGCCAGTGGGTTAAAAGATTTTTTTTTACCCAAGAAACCCCTTCTTCAAATGAATTGTTTCATAGAGAAGTTCAACATTTAAGGAAACTCTAAAGGACAGAGCTGCTCTGGTTTAAGCTCCCTACAAACCTTTCCCCAGACACTGCAGAGCTCAGGAGTCCAGCACTGAAAACCTTGGGCTGTATCACTTTTTGAATTCCCTTTGAGCATTACAGTCTCACTTCATTACTCCTGTTACTCCTTGCACTTATAAGCTGGTAACCATAGAGCAGCAAATCACATCTTTACAAGGTTCCTTCTATAGTTATCATATATCTTAAGACCTTTTTAAGAACAAATTTTTCAATATTGTATGTCTGAGTGATGAAATCAAACACAGTTACTGCTTTTATGTGGCCAAGTTACTGCTTAATGGATGAAAAGTTTAGTGTTTCAGTTACTTATGAGCTCAGAACTCAATTCGTTAGTTATTTTGCTGAGTCATGCTAAGATATATTGAAATTTCCACTCATATTGGTTATATATGTTTGGAGTCCTAAAATTAATACTATGGAAAAATCACTAAAAACAGTACAGCATAAGATGTGTTTAACTGGGAAGGGTGATAATAGTAGGTACTGGAGGACCAAACTTTAGATTATAAATGGAAAGTTCTAAGTTATTTTATATTAGAGTGGATCAGTATTACTATTTATCATTTATATAGCATTTTATATTTGCAAAGTATTTAATAATTTTTATGTTATTCTTTACATATCTATGAAATAGGACATTTATCACATGAAAGGTAAAGAAATTGAGGCACAGAACAGTAAAGCAACCTGCCTAAGACAACCCAGTGAAACAGTGGCAAAAATAGGAATTAGAATGATCAGATTTTCTGAATCCTAGAATATCAGCTTAAATCACTGAGGTGTGTTGTGTATTACTCTATTTTATAAGATGAGTTTATACAAATTACAGTCAATTGTTTTAAAGCTGACGTCATTGTATGTGGATAAATCCTATACAGAATAAATATTATGTAAAGGATGTGACTTTGGTTACACGAGTTTCAATGATAAAAATTCAGGTTGTCACACAAGTGGCATTATTTAGCCAATTTTATATATTGTGAAGTATAATTAATATTTTATTTTGATACAGGAGTTTCTCAACTATTCATGCCAATTGAGCCATGAATAGAAGAGAAAAATGAAATCCACAGAGAATCTATAAACTTCATTTTCTAACTTATCAGCCTTCTCCCTAAAGTACCTGTGTTAATGCCAATGAAAAGTGAAATATGTTAATAAGCCACACACAGGAGAAGCCAGGGGACTCTTAATTATTATTTTGTTTGGCTGCACTGGGTCTTCGTTGTGGCGTGTGGGCTTCTCTCTGGTTGCAGTGCGTGGGTTCTCTAGTTGTGGCACGCCAGCTCAGTAGTTGCTTAGTTGCCCCACGGCCTGTGGGATCTTAGTTCCCTGACCAGGCATCAACCCCCTGTACCCTGCACTGGAAGGCAGATTCTTAACCACTGGACCACCGGGGAAGTCCCGGGACTCTTAACTTTTAAATGCAAAATATTTTGAAATGTATTTACTTAAAAGCATGATAAACACTTTTCCCTGCCTCTTTTAATTTTCTTCACACCAGCAAAAGCCATTGGTACTTCATCATCTTTAGATAGGAAACCAGTGACCAGGGTAATGCCAGTCATCTCTTTACCTTTGGGCTTGATTAGATCATTTGCAAACATTATTAAAGACAACTTGTAAAGTATATCTAAGAACTGATTATACTTTACTTCACTCTTTTGGATTTCTAGATACACAGATCCATTATATAGTTTCTTGATTTTCCCACTGGGAAAATCTTTTAATTCCTTGTTGATATTATTTACAACTACTTCTTTTATTGAGTAAATTATTTTATTCAGCCTTTAAGGGAAAAAAAATGGAACATTTTTACCTAGATAGTAGTTCTCAACCTTGGCTGCACTTGAGAATCACTTGTGGAAATTTCAAAAATACAGATGCCTAAGTAAAGCAGAATCTCTGGCAGATGGGGCCTGGATACATTTTTTTTTAATCTTTCCAGTGTCTTTTATGTGCAAAATAGGTCCCCTACTCAAGGTTTCCCTTTTTCTCCCCAGATAGATAGATGCTAAATTTGGGCAGTGGAACCATTTCACATTCCAGTCCACTGGTTCGCAACCCTATCATTAAGGAAAAAAAATTAAAATATGGTTGCCCAGTCCAAGAAAATATTAATTTTTGTGAAATTTTAAGATATTGTGTATGCCCCCTCATCTAAGCTTTTTATTAGGGTCAAATAGTATGGACACTAAATTAAAATAGCCCATTTTTACTTTGAGATGTATTTGCATTTTTATTTGATCATGGGTTGCAGTCTGGGAATTCACACAGTAATTCAGAGTAATTAAAGGACTATATTTGGAATATGTGACTGAAATACTATATCCTGAAATTTTGCAAGCTTTAATGTTTTCTTTGCTTTTGAAAAAGAAACCAGAACACTCTCCAAGCACTGTGAAACTTAATTGCTACACATTTGTATTCCATCAATGAATTGAA